CTGATGCAGAAATCAAACGATAAGTTTTTGTTTTTGGTCAAACAGACTATTTAGTATTCTAACAAACAATGTCGAGCAGTGACTCACTGTAGTTTGTAGGTCTTGCAGTATGGTTCGTCACTGTCAGAATCCTGTGGCTCCTCTTCTACATCACAGCTCCTGGAGGAGAACAATAAGAAAGCCTGAGATTGATTTTTTGATGGAGAAATATGGCAAAATAATATGTAAGGCCCAACTCAGAACAACAGGCAACAAAAGGGCAAGCAAATATGGGAATAGCAGGAAGACGCCAGGAATAACAGGAAGACTTCACTCAAGGAAAACCTTCAACATCAACTTTGTTGCTATTGTGCTGTTAAAATAAATCAATAAATCACTTCTGAGCCCTATCTATTTCACCCTACCTTCACCTTTTTCTTCCTCCCTTTTGTTCATTACCTTAGAAGGCAGAACTCCAGTATTTAAACCCACCCACCTTTAGTATCTCTAATCCATGCAGCTTTCTACTCACCTTGCTTTAATTAACTCAAATCAGAGTACACTCTCCTGCTGACCTTGTTTCCTATTCATACCAAATTAAGCCTCCATCCCTTATTTTGTCCCCTACACTAGCCACAGGGGACAATGTCATCTGTAAACAGCCACCTCCTGCCCAACTTCATCGCTCAACCTGTCTGTCACCATTGCAATCAAAAAGGAACTTCTCATATTGAATATAAATTCAGCTCATGTGAATCCGACAGGTCGAGTCTGTGAATTCCCACACTCCAACTGGCCTGAAAGCTACAATACTTTTCTTCAATTCTTGTGTGCAGTAAAAAACAAAAATTGGAATATTCTTAAGCAGAGATATAAAGAGTAAATATGCTGAATGCAAAAACATTTAGCAATGCTGTTATTATTACCTAAACTGAGGATCAGGGTTCATATGACAGAACCACTTCTTTGGTAGCTTGTCGACATCAATACCATCAGTCAGTTTTCGCCATTTTAAACAAGTATCACACTGCACCCAGTTTTGATCTGGCTTCCTTTTGACAAACACAACATAGGATGTAAGATAACAGATTTGGTATGAAATACAGCTTTGATGTGTCTTGGATGTGGGTAAATGATCAGCAAATGTACGGACAGGTTTTCCTCCAGAGGGGTGATGCTGTTCGGATTCTCTTTGTTTTTCCTGTAGCGCATTTCCTTCCAGTACTCCTCCAACTTTATCCCCAAATTGTTCATGGTTTTTCTAAACCAAAAACAAAGCTCTTTAGATTTGTGCAATCTGCAAGAATGTCAATGTCAGATGGAACGAGAGATCCTGTCACCTGTAATTGTCTGTGTCATTGAAGCTCTGTTTATTGTGGGTAGGATCAAGATAGTCACACTCTATTATACCGATGACCCCAACTCCATGTCCGTTGGCCTGTTAAAATGATGTACAAGGGACAAACATTATATAAGAGCTTTCGCTTAAAAGCAATTAATGCAGAAACCTACCTTATTCTGGCAGCCCACGCGTTCATAGGCTTTGATTAGACGATTCCTATGGTACATCATGATGCCATACTGGTCTTTATTTTTAGTGTTGAAACCAAAAGTGATTGGAATGCCTTTGTTCTTCTAAAACAACATTTTAGGAAAGCCCATTATTAGATTAGAAAAACAAATACAAAGGCACATCACTGAATAACTGCTGACGTAAGATTACCAAACAACTTGGCTTGTAAGAGTCCCTTCTTCTGTGGGCAAGACTCTTGGAAATCAACTGAGATTTCACATTTTGGCCACGAATGATGATCTGCATCCGTGGCTTCAGATACAAAATAGTGCAATATGCCTGTACAACATTTAATACAAAAGAAATAATAAGGTAAAAGGAACAATGTTTTAAAAAATAACACATAATTACAAATAATGATAAAAGAAGCTGGTCAAATGATTAAAAATTCTATCCGATTAATCAAAGGGTGATAGTGGATTAAACATTCCTAAATATGAAAACATTTTTTTACAGCCCTTACAAAACCTTTTAACCACGAACAAATGATATTGTATCTTTTAGGTTTTACTAGGTGTATTTCAGCATATTATGGATGCATGCCATTATTGACACAGCATTCACTATCTGTCTAACAATTCCTAAAAGTATGTTTATCTCAGTATTTAAAGGCCACATGTCAGAAAGTGAAGCATTTGATGTGTTTGATTTAAAAAAAAAAAAACTTCATGAGAAAGTTCAGCTCTTTACCCGCAGTGAGTAAACACTGTCAGGGACATGTGTCAAAACTGTACGTGAAGATGAAGGCGTGTCGCTTGTCACTTCATAGACGTCAGATGAAAGTCTGATGTCATAACGCTCCCTCTCTAAATCCAACTCTAATTCTCCAGAAGTCCTTCTGAAAAAAACAATAAATTAAGATATATTTTAATTGTCTCGAAATAAACTGCTGGTGTTATACCTGTTTCTGTTAGCCAGTTTTACGGAAAACTGGTATGTACTAATGTAAAAAATATATTAAAAAAAACAAAACAAATAATTAGTCGAATAATAGTCATGTCTATTAATTGTAACTTAAAAACAAGGAATAAGCACTCTGAACAAAGTTAGATTTTTAAAGCAATTTCCCTTTTTCTTTATACATGTTAAGGTATTAATGCTTATTTTTCATTTACATGTGAAATCCTTCATGTGTGATTTGTTATATGTGGCAATCTTTTGTGACTATTTTTAAGGGAAAATATCAATACTGTATATCTATCGTGTATTCATAAGTACTGGGAAAAATACCAAGATATGTTTGGTCCAAACTCAGCACTACTGAAAATATATAAGGTTAAAAAAACAAACACTTTTAAAATTAGACATGTACAAACCTGCGGAGATTCCAGATGATTATCCGTGTTCCCGATTTTTCTGTAGACCAGGGGGGACAAATGTGACCAAGCTCAGTGAGGAGCTCTTCCTGAGTAGAGAAGGGAGAATACATCAAGATGTCCTGTAGACTGACTTTGTGCTCCTCATGTGGAACTAGTAGAGGGGTGGTTAAAGGAAAAATGGGTGCTAACACTAACAACAAACAAAAACGTGAAATCAACCAACATACAAAATACTTAGCAACAAAGGCATCCATTGTTTAAATCACAACATACTTGCAATGTGTCAGTTTACAGAGTAAATCAAATAGGTCAATAAATCAAGTAAGTAAATGAATATTTAATTTGCTTTTATAGTGCAGGATGTGAACGAGGGAATAGGAGTTAGGATATAGGATTTGTTTGGCTCCATCTGTTCAAAGCAGACAATTGGTGTAATTATTTGATCTGCTTTAATGCTTTCCAGGTAAGTCTGAGATAGCATTCCAACACAGGAGGTGCTCTTTGACTTGGAAAACACAATGGCATCTTTGCCGAGACGCATGGATCCAGACTTGAAACCGTTGCCATAGGTGCCTATCGGTACATGGCCACGACCAGCTACCTTATCGCTGTACCCAAAGCTGAACGAAGAGATTAAAAAGTATATACGAGTTAATTTTGAATCAAAACAAACAAATTATCAACAGTTAATAGTTAAATGCTTCAACACACTAATTTCTGCTGCTTTATTCATATACAAGACTGTCTTTACCTGAGCATCTTGTACATAGTTTCAAAGGTAAGTCCATTTCCATTGTCCATGAAACTGAGGCATTCTTGTCCGTTAACCACAGTCTTATCAATCCAGAACTGTTTGGCCTTGACGTCTGGATCATAGGCATTGTCTTGGGGAAGAGAGAAAAGCTTGAACTGCACACAGTATTTTTTAAAGTTTTCATTACTTTCATTATTTTCGTGATTAAAAAAAAACAAAAAACATTTTCTAACCTAAACAAAACAATCAGTAAAAATATAGCAAAGAATAAACGAAAACACATAGTACTGTTAGCTTTATTTACCTCGAGGAGATCGAACACTATAGTGTGTTCCTCACGCTGATTGGCTCATACATCATAGACTCTCTCAGCATCTCGTTAACTTTGCTCTGCACCGTTACACGTATAGTACGTTGTTGTAAAGTTTGTGCTCTTGTGTTTGGTGAATGTTGACCGTAATTTAATATCAGAGGATGCCTCATAAAGGCCCTGATCATCTTCTCAGCCTTCTGTTAAGAAGCCCAAACGAAGACGCTGACATCGATTACAGGTAACAGCCTTTATTTTTCTATACAATAATGTGCGCTCCTGCGCTGTGCCCGGCGTTCTTGGCAAGTATTCACTCCTCTGTTCACTCTCCTTTCTCCTTGCCGGCTCCTACTAATATAAATAGTTTACTATTTCTCGGATTTTCCTTTTCGCGATGGGTCTTGGAACGCAACTACCGGGGGAGATGGGAGAGTGATCACTGTATGCTATGTATTTTCCACGGCTGAGCCAAAGGTGAATCGCTGCCTCGCACAGTCAATAAATCAAGACATTGGCAAAGGCTGACTATTTTAGAGATGGTTCACAAAGAACAAGACATTTACGCTGCGTACCGTCACTGTGTCAGAGGCTTCAGCTCGTTTGACAGATAGATAGATAGATATATCTTTATTAACCACTTGGGAGTTTCCTTCGGGAAATTAAGGATAAAACCCTTGAGTTTAGTCACTATAGTATTCTTTGAAAATCATTGAGTGTGTAACTCAAATTTATTTAACTTACAAAAACATTTTTAGTATTTAATAACTTTAATCCTGATGTTAAATACATATTTGGTCATAATCACACTGAATTGACAGGCTTCAATAAAAATGAAACTGATATTGACTCACCTATGAGCTCAGCTATAGCACTGAATGGTGAGGTGTGGCTGGTAGAGTTGGAATGAAGATACTTCGGACAAAGCTGTAATTATAAAATAAATAAATAAATACAAATCAAAAAAAGAGGTAAAAATCAGGTCATTATTCCTAAAAAACTCTGACATTTTAGTTAATTAATTTAACGTAAAAAATGACATATTGTCATTCTTCATAACTTTCCAAACGATTTTTCCAACTTATTCCAGATTCTACATATTTCGTTTTCGAAAAACAGGGTAAACTGCAATACCCATAACATTCACTCGAATACCAATTTTAAAGAACGTTTTCTGCAGTTAGTATCGTACTTTTGTGTAATCCGAAAACGGTGAATACGTTACAGACTTTTAACAGAGTGCTTCAGTCGGTTACGTTTCCAGAAAACAGTAAGTAACAAAACGGAGAAAGTAAATTAACAAGACCCACCTTACTAACAGGAACACCACGAATTGTATCTGCCATCGCTCTATGCGGATCTGACATCAGAGACGCAAGCAGGCACGAGCTTCTTTTGTAGACCCGCGGAATTGTGGGTAATGTCTATGACGTAGAAGGATACAACTAACGAATTAACGAATTAAATTACTGTTTTGCAGAAACGAAACAGAAAATAGACATACATTTTAAAACTTAAAAAAAAAAAAAAAAAAATGGTGGAGTTAGGGAACTGCTTTGCATTTCGGCGCAAATGCAAAGCATTGCAAAGCATTTCAACCAGTAAAGTTATACGTAGGACATGAGTTTCATGTTTGTACGTTTTTGTTAATAAAAGTAGTACGCGAATGCATCATAACTTGGCTTTTGTTTTCATAAATATTGATTGCAGCAGTCGGAGCACACAGATTATCAGACCTCCAGCATCCTTACATTTATAATTACTTAATTCCAGTCAGCCAGTCTATCCAGTAGTTGTCTGCATTGTGGAATTTTGGGCAACTGTAATTGTAATTATTTATTTATTTAATATTCTGGAGCTCACTTTTGCAACAGAATGGATTTATTGTGTTATGAGAAGACCAAAATATTAAATACAGTAGAATCTGCCCCATCTGTTAAAATTGCATCTATTTTCCCTTTTTGTGCCTCTTACTAATTTACTTTCTCACTCACTCACATACAGTGAAATATTAGCAGCAAAGCCAGTAAGTTTCACATATATTTTAATAAGCTTCCTCTTGGTCAATAGTTAACATGGTTCTTTTATATATTCCAAAATAAATTACTTAAATATCAGGTACTGTGGAAGAAAACACAACAGGTGGTTGAAAAATAATTATTCAAATACAAGTGAAATGAGAAGTCCCTTTAACACCAGACAATAATGTGCATGTACCAAACATGTACCAAACATGACAAAGCTAAACCAGTTATCCAGAGTAACTCCAGTTTTACAGATGAACACAAATCACATTATGTAACGTGTTGATAAAAATTGCACATAGGTGAGGTCCCTAAAACATTTATAAATTACAGCTTCAACAGGAGACTTAAGATATTTTTTCACATTCTCTGAGTCAGGCATGTACAGAAGGAAAGTAACGTAGGAGTGCTGATAATTGAAGAGTTCAACAAATCGAAAACAAAAAACCACTACACAGTGAATTTGCAATTTGGTGTCAAACTAAATTGTTACTGGATCTGTGTTAGTACAAGGTGCGTGCATTGTGCAATTTACACGTAAATTGTGAGAAGATCAAGGTATAAATGTTTTGCTGTTGAGAAATCAAACTACCTTCAGAACTAGAGCAACACCATTTCTTTTAAAATTTACATCATGTCACATTATTAGAGAAGTCCTAAAGGTTCAGTAAATTCACAATGGTAGAGAAATTATGTCTAGAACAATGGCAATGTGAGACCAACTAAAAAGAATTATTATGGAAAAAGAAATTTTAAAAACATGAAAAAAGTTTCCCTTTTGAATTTAACAATATACTTTAGCTGTTTGTGCCTTTTGTAGGATTTAAACTCATATGGCTGAAGGAAGTCTGATGGTTTTTTAGATTTTAAGGCCTAACTCTGGCTTAATTTTCCATTGAGTCCAGGAACTCTTCCTCAATAATATGTTCCAGCTTCTTCAAGACTGTATCTGAACTGGCAGCTGGGTAGTCTGCTACAGCGTAGGTGGTCACAGCGTGGTTGTTAGATGGAGGACCCTGAAATGAGCAGCAAATCGTGCGAAAAAAGGGTAAGAGCTGGGTGATGGAGCGCAGGGAATGTTGGGTCAGAAGTGGGAACTCCAAATGCTCTGTGGAAGACTCCTCACAAAGTCCGTTCAGTGTCTGTAAAAATAAGTCAAAATTTCATGATTAGAATCAGGGACGTTAGACTTAGCAGACTAGTTCTACGAGTTTGTTCTTATATTATTGTTTATATCAAAATAAGGTCACACCCTGCATGTATACATAAGTATTGTTTTATTTTATTTATATTATGGCTGTCAAAATAAATACCTACTTTTTTAAAAATTAATTTGCAATATTAATCTAAATATTTTACACACAGGGGCACAATGATGTGCACTAAATGTCGAATTCCACTGTCAAGCCACTTACTGTTAATCTGATACACAGTTAGTACATACGTTGTTAGTGACACACCGTGCACAAAAAGTTTTAGTTTTCAACAGAGCACCTTTGAATACGTCTAGGGCTAATGAGCTGACTGACACAATTGTCAAAAGGATTGTGGAATGATTAAAATGTTTTTGTTCTATGAGCCACCGCCAAGATGCAAAGCAATGATTAGAATCAACCAACTCAGTGCTAAGCTAAACTTTACTTTTTACTTAAACACGTTTATCTTCATATTTTTCCCATGTTAATAAGTCCATCGTTCTCACATCATATCGTTGCTGTATCCCTTCCAATACTCGGACAACATGAGGAATGCACTCTTGCTCATCCTCCATCAGAGCCGTCTCTGGTCCGCTGTAGCGCTGCACATCCACCTCTGGGACAAATGCCCAGCGATACCTGCATACCAAAAAAAAAAAAAATCTCTTTATGTAGGAAACAACTTATGTAACCAATATTGACTCAATATTTATTCAAGATACATTTTTAGGTTATTTTGTTTTAAATTACAGTCTTACATCTGAAATAGTGGGATCTTTTCTGGAGGAAATGTCAGTGAGGTGTCCAGGAACTTGCAGGCTGAGAAGTACATGTCCAACTCCGCCTGAGAGAAATTTACTGGTCCATTTCGTTCCAGGGCCCCACGTACAACTTTAGCTAGTCTACGTAGGTAAAACATGCATACAAATATTTTGAAAGGCAGCACCAAAAATTGGCATTGGGCAAAAAAGATCAAGTGAAAGAATGACCTTACTTTGAAACGTCTTTCTCTGCCTGCAGAGCTTTCTCTAGACGTGCAAATATTCTAATCTACAATAAAAAAAAAGTTTTTAAAATGGACACTTTTAAACTAATATATGAAGTAGGGGTTGCACTACATCTGGTTTTCTTAAAGTCAACACTAATGTCACCCAGATCAAGTCGACGTCAAGAAGTTGTTGATACAGGCCAAGCTGGTATATGTGGTTCACAGTCCTGCTTTGCCTACAGTAGTTATATATTTACATTCTAATTTGCCTGTAATACACAAGAGCATTGACCTGGGCTGGGTTTGATAACTGTGGAAACATGTTGAAAAGGTGTACAAAAGGCCTTATTCCTGTTCAGTGTGTCTCCCTGGCTATCAACCAAGTTCTTAATTTGGACTGCCTCACCTAGAATAACAAGTTTACCACACCTGAGCACTTAGCAATAGAAAACCAACGAGCTCCACCTCTCTGCCTGCCCCAGTTCTTCACATAAAAAATGGGGTCAGTAACTCATTGACATTTTGTAAGTTATAAAGAAGTCGACTGGTCCATTAGTCTGTACAACCCCAAGTATAAAATGAATGAAAGATGGACAAAATTTTACCAGCTCTGTGACCATGATTGGCCAAAGAGACGTCAGGTGCTGGGATGAAATCCGCATTAGGAGAACACGAAACATCAAAAACATCTGAGCTAAAACAGCGGGACTGGGATTCATTTTAAGAGCCTCACTGAGACGCTCTGAAAGAAAGAAGTGATTGTTAACATCTGCTGCAGAACAAAGTCAAATCTACACAGAACGAATACCCAGTAGTAACAAACCCTGAATGAGGGGCAGGTAGAGGTGATACTGGTCCAGCTCTCCGCTGAACATGGCAAATGCCTGGCGTTTTAGCAGCATTGGTTTCTGGTCCACATTGGAAAACAGTTTCAATGAGCCACTCTGCATACCTTTAATACAAATATTATGAGATTTGTTACATCACAACATTACAAAAAACATCTGTAACACACTGCACAAAACTCCCACAGGACTGCATCATAAGCAATGCCCAAATGAACCACTGTCTCAGAGGCAGAACTTACTCATGAGGTCTTTAAACATTGTCTTCTCATGAGTCAACAGATGATCAATGATGGATTTCCAACTGTAAAACAACGGAAACATTAGACATTTAAATTAATTTATTTAAATCTATTCATACTCTTATATTTGCATGCTTGGAGGTTGCATTAACTCCTACATCTGCTAGACTGAATGAAACAATATTTTCAAATGTTCTTTATATGATTCACAAAGGTGAAAAGGAATAAAGAAAAGAGGGGAAAAACAAAAGGAAATCTTCAAAACCACCTGACAGACACTTGAACCCAGCGGTTGCAGAAGAGATTTAAATTATTTGAAATTTACCTGAGTGCACACGAGGGGTCCATGGTGAAGAAAAGTGGGTCCATGAAAAGCTCAAAGACTTCCTTCTTCCAGGATCTTTTTGTGTAGGCGTACCCACTCAGACTGCTCAGCAGCTGAGCTCCAGCCTCAAAGCTGGGCATGTTGTAGGCACTGTATGAAAGAAAGACAATTTCCACCAAAGATGATTGCAGAGTCGCCAAACTCAAATCCATGCTGTAAAACAAGAGTGACATGACTACCTGTGGTTCTTCAGGTATGGGAAAACATAGTACAGGAGACGTGAAATGAGTGGAACAGCCTTCTCTTTCTCATCGCTGCGGTACACCATGTCCAAGAGTGGTGCCAACATCTGCATGGGGAAACAGCTGGTTAAACACACAAAACACACCAACCCGCAGTCAGTTTCGTATTGTTCCTGACTTTTACCTCGGCCAGAAGAACAAGGGCTTGTACGCTGTAAACTGAGGGAGCTGAGGAGGAAACCATGGTGCTTGTCTGGGCCAAATCTGAAGGAGATATATAGGAAACAAATATGAACATATGAGTGTAACAAAAATCTCAATGTACCTTGTTTTTTTCCTCTGACAGCTGCACTAAAGGGAATCTTGGGATTAGGAATGTTTAATATTTCATCTCTGTAGGCTGTTGCCTTGACTTTTATTCTGGCAGGTTTACTGTAAAACTCACCGCCATTTTCACCATCCACATCTGTGTCCTCTGGTTCCTCTGGTTCCTCTGCCTCAGGACAAACCTGTGGCTGAACCTTGACCTCAAGGCTGCGGCTGAGCCAACTGGTCTGCTCTAGAGATGATCCTGCAATTCCACCTATCGCCTCTAGTATGCGCTGGGTCACTTCCTGCACAGTATTAATGACCAGATTTACATTCAATTTCTGAAACTATATATATATTTTCAACTGCTTTTCTGATTATAGAAACATATACATTATTATTTTTTTTACTGCTAATATATTAGTTATATTGACTATGTATTTTGACTAGCCATTGTTTTACATGCTTTTCAGTATAGACTATACCTGTAGGTCTCTAGAGTACTTCTTATTATCCAGATTAGGGATCCTATTAACAAAGTCGTTGAGGATTCTGTAAAAGACAGAGCAATAATGAATATCAAACATTCTTCAAAAAAAAAAAAAAAATCATGAAAATATGCACTGAATGGGTAAAAACTGACCCGAGCAGTAAGAAGTACCCAGGTGGGGCGAGGTTCAGCTGAACTGACTCCCGTAACAAACTGAGAAGCGGAGCAACATTGTCCTGCAGAGCCTGAGCTGGAATACTACACACACAGAGACCGGAAATATTATTATTAACTAGGGCTGTCAAACAGTAACAGTTTAATTATGATTAATCATGATGAACTCAGATGACTCATCATTCCTCTTTTCTTTATACTGCTGGAACAAATAAGCAGGTAGATGTATGTGTTCACACCTGTTTTTTATTTTATGACTAATCCAAGTAATGGAATTATTCAAATGGAAAAATATAAAGAAAAATACACAAATGTATAACTTGAGCCTGAGACTCATGGCAGTGAATATTCCCACATACCTTTGAATGTAAGCATAGCTGAACTGGAGCATTGGGATATCCACTAATGCTGACTTCTAATGGAAAAAAAAGAAATAGCAAACATTAAAGTTACTACTTGGTAAAAATGAGTTAACAAATGTTTATATTATGACAGTATGTGAGCTTGTCTGTCTGTGTACCTGCTCTCCTTTGATCTGATGTGGTTTCTTTACCACTTCTTTGACCAGCTGTAAGACGGTCTCTGTCGACAAGGTGTTCAGTGATTTCACCAGGTCCACAATCGTTAGACGAGCCTCACTGGCCACAGGCAGAACCTAGAAAAAGAGATTAAAACACAGAGCAAAGTCATTTCTTTATCAGTGAGCTAAGACTGAGAACTTGATCTTAGGATCTTATCTATTGATGATATGCTCATTTTAATTACTACTTAATTATAGTTGTTTTCACCATGCCAAAAACAAGTCGTACCTGATTTTTATGTCTCCTTTTGCTCTTCCTGCTGCTCCACACTACTCCCAGTGAAGCCATCATTTGAGATCCATACTGGCCAGTCAGAGGAAGCAGAAACTCCAGTATACGCAGCCGTAAGATCTATACAGATACATTACTTATTGTGAGTTGACACTAATGTAATTTCCTTAATGAAGCAAAGTACAGCGTTTCACAATGTTGAAAGGTTGTATATAAATCAAACAATCTAAACTAAACTACTTTGTCTAAACACTGTTATTCATACAAAAATGCTATTCCTATTCAAGAACGCACCCTCCCCACCCCTCTGTTTCCCACACACATCGAGAATCACCACATTAAACACTAACCTTAGTGCTTTTAAAATAGACAGAGGTAGAAGTGTGTCTGCTACTCTGACCGGAGTCAGACGCCCGTCTCTGGATCTCCTCCCTCATGACCACGCCCCACATTAACACCATACTAGTGAGCATTTGTGGTAGAGCCTCTATAACAGCACTGCGTGCGTTACGGATGTCCATGGGATCACAGGCAACCAGGGACTGACAAACAGGGAAAAGTCATTGTTAAACTTTATTTTATGCTGACAGAGGAGGTCTGTGTGTGTGTGTGTTATTCCTCACCTTCTTGCTGTCTAAAAGACAAAAGTGTGCTATGGTGGTCAGGCCTTCTAACAGAGTCAGAGGGTAGTCCGGAGCAATATTCTCCCGCCTAGTGCTAAGGCTGAACATATAAAATAATTTCATTTGTAATTATTTTCTACCTCACAATAATTATTTTGGGTGAAATATATATGTTTAAATGAGACACTGCTTACCTATGGTTTGTTTTTCCTCCATCATGGTCATAGAGCTTCACCAGTTCGTCCAAGTTCCTGCAGATCTGACTTATGAGAGGAGCCACGATGATTCCTAATGAGCGTCCCAGGTAGGGCAAAGAGGAGCACAGCAGTGACACCCAGTGGGGGTGCATGGCATAGCCATACTGGGGATGCAGAGCCATGGCTGCAGCTGAAACAAACATTCCTTGAGCTGTGATGGGATGGCTTTGGACGTACTGGTCTGACCTGATGGACTGCTGGAAAATGACAGCAGTTTGCCACTCACGAGCAAGAGGGGTGCTCGTAATTGGGGATTCACAGGGCTCCATCGATTGGCTGGAGGATCCACCTGAAGCAGCTGTTGAACTAGGTCCACACAGTCCCACATGGTGCTCCAGGATGATGAGAGCCTGAAGTAGTTTCAGTAACTCCATTTGTAAAGGATACTGTTCTTGCCCTGCTCCTGTTCCCAGATTCACCAGGCTCTCCTCCGATAGGCATCCCTGTTCATCCAGCAGTTCTACATTTTTGGAAGAGCCCTTGTCTGTCCCCCTTTGGCAAACGTACATAGATGCAGAAAGTGAAAGCAAGGCATATTGCTGCACCTTACATCTGGTAAGAAGTCTGCGAATGGGCTCTAGACCAGTGTCACCATTACCCCTCTGGCCACGTGTCATGCATCCAAGCTGGTTCACCATTCGAGTAAGAACTTCCACACTTTTTACCTGAACCTCCCTGTTGCCCTGCAGGTCAAGAGGTCCAAGGCTTAGGTAAGAGGGGTAATGAGAGCGCAGGAATCGGAGGCACAAGGACACCAGCAGCTCCATTAACAGGGATGGTGGCACGGAGGGGACGGAGGAGGGGGAGAGAAGGCCACCATAGAAGCCCTTACCATCTTGAGCCTGTTGGTGTCTCTGTAAAAGGTTGGAGACCAGGTTTAAATGTGCAGCTGAGCTTGTATCAAGAGAGGTTGAGCAAAGGGCCTCCACCAGAGGGCACTCTGCACTGCTCCTCAGCAAACTGTCTAACAGTGCCAGGCCTTGGAGGAGATAGCGCCAACCACCAGCCACAGGATGCAGAAGCATGTGACGGAACAAGGAGTCAATGGCCTCTCTTTTCTCACGCTCCTGTTTTAAAAGACGAGACCTTGCCATGGCTTCCAGCTCCAAATCATCTTCTTCTTCACTCGACAGAGAATCAGAGGCCTGTGTGTGCTCAGACTCCACCCTCTGCAGGCCATTGACCATACCTGCTTCCTCAGAGCTGCCATACAAGGCAGAACCAGAGCTGGAGTTCTCTGTGGAAACCTGAGCGCCGCTTGTGTCAGGTGACTCGGTGTGTTCACTCTCAGCCTCCTCCTCTTCCTCCTCCATCTCTTCTTTATACTCTTCCTCCACAGACTCATTACTCTCACTCCTTAACACCACTAAAGAACCCTGTTGTTTTGTCAGCTCCGGACCACTTTCTAACTCTGCCCACAGTGATTCCCGGTCAACAATGTTGGTGAGATTCAATGTGGTGACCTCTGTGGCCATGGTGTCCTCCGACATGACAGACGTTCTTGTGGAGCTACGACTTCTGTTGCTCAATATCTTGAGGTTCCCTTTAAAAACAGCACAGAGCACATTGTCTTTAAATACAGACTAAAAGAAAAAAAACCCTGACTAAACCGGATATTTCTTCAGTGCACACCCACCAGCTGTGAGGTTTTGCTTCATGACGTTAATGGAGGAGCGCTGAGTGGACGGGTGAAGCAGCATCAACAGAATAGGTTCCAGGATTCGGATCACATCGTTGAGGGACAGAGCTCTGTCCAGCCAGCACTGAGTTGCAGCTCGTATTGACCCATCAGTGCAGCTCAAACTGTCCACCACCACACACAGGGACCTGAGAAAAAGAGAGTTCAGAAGATGTCTGTTTTGCAAGAAATGTTTATCAAATTTCAATGATTCACGCAGCACTATCCACTTAGAGCTATTTAAGGTGCACTAGTTGGGTTTCAACTTTTTATTATCCACTTACCTGTCGAAAGAACGGTTGAGAGACATGGTCCTGTTGGTCTGAATCTCTCTGGTCAAGTGCCATAGCACCGTAAATCGGTGCAGTGCTTCTAACCTAACGCTCTGGGATGGACATAGACAGAAGAAATTATTGTTGCTCACCTTGCCTTTTTTTCTGCCTCAGCTAAGTTACATAATGAGATGTGTGTGCTGTTGTTTTTGCAGACATACACACCTTGTCTTTGTGCAACAGTGCCTGGCAGATGATTTCTTCACAGATTGAGGCTGTGGGGGCCAAACAGTGAAGTCTGTAAAACAGCTCCACACAGGAAATGTGCTGCTCTCTCCGGTCCATGTCCAGCTGACTCCACAAAACCTGGGACAGCCTCTGCATCACAGCGAGAATACTGTCAACAAAATATCACATCGTTCGGATGGGTTTTTTTTTCAGATTCTGGATCATACCTGATAGAAATCAGTGCCCTCCTCGATAGCCTGCAGCACAGAAGGGAAGATGGGGGGCACAGTGACCATCTGCATCCGTCCACTCAGAGGGTTGGAGTCACAGGTTTGATAACGTCTGTGCTTGTCTTTAATGACCAGAGCCAGAGACTGGGAATGGTTGATTAGTTCCAAGAGGGAGGCCACTGTTGTGTGCTGGATGTTGTAGTCTCTTGAAAGGCAGCACAGAGTCATCACAGACTTCAGCCACACTGGTAGACTGCCCACTTCAACACCTGAGGTCAATAAAAGATCATTATTTCTTTTTACATCACAGCATGTTTGAAAAGGGAAAATAAAATTGTCGCAGTGCTCTATCTGTCAGCTGACCTGGTTGGTCAAACATGTCTGTATGAAGGGCCACAGTCTCCTCTTCACTTAGGTAGACAGGGAAGGTAGCACTCTCTAGCAGCAGGTGGCAGGTAGCTGTGAAGGCCTGTCGACAGTCCTCAGAGATCTCCGTCCTGCTCCGTGGCATGAAGCCAGCTGACCAGTCCACACACCTCATATACCTCTGTTCTTTCTTTTTTTCGACAGTCAACGTTGAGCACTCAGAGTCCGATGTGGAGCGAAGTTTCATTTTGTTTGGGTTGAACAGTTCAGTTAGCTTGTCTTTAATTTCCCGTCCTCCTATGCCTGGCAGCAGATTCTTTTGATCCAGAGAGGCAGGAGTGACACTGGGCTGAAGTACTTCCTCAGGTCTGCTCACATCTTCCACCTCCACCAGCAAGTATCTGGAAAATGTAGTAGTACTTAATGGGGTACATTTTCTATAAACATTCATGGGTCATATTATTATAAGGGATGGACAGATTGAAAACAAGCTTCAGTGCTGAATATGCTAATGCATCTTCACAGTTTAACGACTCAGTACATATGGTATGACAAGCCCTACTTCTATGGCAACAAATTTGTCCAACATTCAATAGGTCACCTTGTGGTTATGAAGGACAGTATTTCCTGCAGACACTGAGTCATTTTGTCCACACTGCCGCCTCGCTTCCACACTCCCTCAATGTCCTTGCAAATTCCGTTTCTCTTGGTTCCCATTCCTGGTGGGAACTGCTGTTCTGACGGCGAAGCGCTGACCCCTAAGCCGCTGTCTTCAGATCTGATTGTGTGATAAGCACCATTTGTGGTCTCTGCATCATCTCCTCCTTGTGCATTCAGCTCTTCTTCTTCAGGGTGTCCATTAACCTGCTCCATGCTGCCATCTTTATCCCCCTCCTAGATCAAGTTGCAATTTTAATAACAAGGCGTAGTCACACCTACAAAACAACTCTATTAACTGTTTTAGTCAGTTTAACCTGTGTGCTGTCGTCCTCTGATGTATGTGTCTCCATGTCCTCCGTGTACGGCCCTACTTCTATGTCCATGTATGCCACAGGCATTTGTATCTTACTGAGGACCTTAAAACAGGCACGCAGGCTTTGGGTGACATCCTCCAAGCTAATCGAGTCCAGGTGGCTGTGCAAGGTTTGTAGCATGATGCCCAGCATCTCAGGGAGGAACTGTGACTGGATGTCATTGTGAAGCTCCTGGTGATGAAAAAATAAAATGGACTTATATGGGCCTGTAAACATTAATTTCAATGTCTTTGTTGTTCTAAATACTGTAATAAAAGTCTTTGCACTGTTGACCAAGTTTCCAAATACCAAGTCAAAAAAGGAATGTGATTTTTATACATGTATTCATATACATGTGTTTAACTGTCATTTACACAGCTGTAAGTGGTTTTCGACCATGATGCTGGTCTGAAGCTGCTGGTGTTTAGTGTCTGTTGTATTAAAGGAGACACGAAATAAAAAAGAAAAACCTGCATAATTAGTCTTGAGGGAGTTACAATGCACTTTTGCTTCACTTGGTTTATTTGGCAGTTTAGAGAACAACAGGGGTGCATGTGTATGCGTGTTTGCTTTGTTTACCAGAGGAAGAACATCCAGGAGGAAAATAATTAAACTGGACATTTCTGGGACAGAAGGAGCTGGATGACTGCGGTCCTGCTGAGGAGGAATCGGTGGGTCGTCGTTGTCACTACAGAAACAAAAAATGTTAATTGAAAAATACATGACTTTTTTAGTGATGTTGAGTTGTCATTTAAAAACAAACAGGGACATTACAGACATTGTTGTCTTCTGCCTTTCGCCCTCTAGAGCATTTCATTGTTCAATAAAGTTTATAGATTTTACATCAGAAACTCAAAGGTCTACTACTGCAGTACCTGAGAGAAGTGCAAAAGCGTCGCGTCATGTACTCCCACAGATATTCACTGTTCATGGAGCTCACCAGCATGTTCACTGTCTTTATGATCTCTGATGCATTTTTATTCTCTTTTATCTTACTGTTGAAGAAGAAAACACAAAAATTTGAAGTTGCTATTTTGATAAATTACAGTGAAATACAAATAGCATTGGTTCTCACCTGGCAAGAAGATTGCCTGAGAGCCCTGAACTGGTGATAACGTCCTCACCCACCATCCCTCGGCAGTAGCGGTAAAAGGCTCGCACGACTTCCAGTAACACACTACTCAACACAGCAGGACCTTAACAGAAACATCGGAATTCAAGTAACATTGCAGACAAAACGAGTGCATCAATAATTAATAATTGAACACTTTGAGTGTGTCCTGGATTTGTTTCAGTGCTGGTTACCAATTTCTGGTTTGTCCAACAGGCTGATGATAATCCTGAAGGGTCTGAGGTATCCACTCACATTCTCAGGTTTGTTATCCATATCCTTCTGTTTGAGGATGTTAATCAGAGCCTGAGGTCATAGACAAGAGGAAATTTAAAAAAGAAACATGTAACATAGACTTGGCATATTGACAGGTAAGATAAATAGGACTGGTAATGACTGTATCATGGGACCTGTCAGTGGCTTAGATTAGGTTAGGAAGCAATGGATATTTTACTGATGAAGGATAATGGCAAACACTTGTTTTATAGCGTGTTTGAGGAGGGCCAAATTATAAAGGCTGGACAACTGGGTCATAGCATCTCTAAAACTGTAAACTGGAGTATAATGTTTATATTAAAACTAGTCCAAGGAGACCCAGCAGTAAACATCAACAGGTTTGGACAGCCAAGGATTAATGGAAAAGTTAATACTGGGTCTGATATCTTATGTTAAAACAGCAGAATGTGTTAATTGTGAGTCTGTGTAAAAGTAGCTGCACAATCCTGACAAGGAGTCCCATGAACATATACACACTATGAAGTGGGTCTGTGTGCTACTAGTGAGTGAGCTACCTGTATGAGGTAGTCTCTGGTGTAGGTGCTAAAGTAGTAGGACATGTGTTCTTCTACGGAGGTGCTGAGCGTTGGGTGCGGAGCCACCATTTCCCCTTTTATGTCTGTGCCTGAACACAACACAAGCACACAACAACCAACCTTAAAAGTGAGCTACAGAATGAGACTGAGGAATAATGTAAAAGGCGACAGGCGAGCACCTAGGAGCCAGGCGTACAGTCGTCTGTTGAGGGACATGTCTCTGCGGAGCAGCGTGAGTGTGGCGGCAGATACGACATCAATCAGGTCGTCCACACTCAGCGCAATGCAGGCCTCTGCTGGGTTCTTCAACACAACGTTAACAATAAGTGAAGAACAAGACTATTATGACAAGAGATAGAAAAACTTAGCAGGTTTGACAAAGGTTTGATTAAAAAAACAATAAAAGAGTGAGTATACTTGGGTTCATTTGGAGTTCTTTCATGTTAACCTACCAAACAAGTGGCAAAAGGGAAGAAGTAGAGTAGAATTTCAAGCATGTTCCTCTGCACCAGGATGTTTGAGTCTTGTAGAGAAAGACACACTGCCTTTAACTGTAAAGGTAAAGTACAGGTGTTCAGGTTATTGAATATAGACTCTCAACACTGCTCTTGTTACAATTCTTAGCACACTCACCACTAGGCGGCTGTTGTAGCCGATCACGTGCTTCTGCTCCTGCAGGGACATCGTCCTGTCAAAATGTGTGACTATAAATATGGAAGCCGGGAGCCTCACAGCAGCACTGACCACCATGCTGCCCCACAGGCCGCCATAGAAAACCTGCTGACCCACCAGCAGCGACAGCTTCACTAGTAATGCCTCAGTCCTGAACATAAACACAGAGAGAACAGTAAAACATTTGTTCTGGTTTTGACTGTCGGCATCCGGTCCCTGTCACATACCGGTCATAGACCTCCAGTCCTTCTTCAAGGCCTGGCAGAAGGCCTGTTATGAAAGCCTGAAGACTGGGCAGCAAAGCCCTCTGCAGTGGCAGAAAGTAACGCTCATATAGAGTCAGCAGCACAGGCTTCACTGCCATTGAAGACTGGCCCAGCAGTGGGAATAACCCGGAGCTGTGGATCATAGAGACATGTACCTGTTACAGTACTGTAAGTCGTCCAGTTTTGTAAGAGCAGTAAAATATTACGGGAACTTCATTTACCTGTAGATAAAAAGATCTTTGGCCAGCCATTTTGTTCCAATTATTTTGAAGATGACCTCGTAGGTCTCAAGAGCTTTGAGATGCACCCCACTGGGCAGTGCTGGGTGAAGACACTGAGCCAGACGCTTCCCTATGATCAGCCTTTTGGGTAAGAGAGAGTAACGGAGGTTGCTCTGCAGGGCCTACAATCAAGATAAAAGCAAAGCAGAGTGTGAGAGGATAGAAACCTGATTCGCTGGTAAAGAAATGCACATTAAACACAGAGAGAAATTCACATTCGAGCAGAAAAGTAGTTAAATGTATTATTGTTTTATCTGCTTTGACAGTTTAATGACTGAAGTGTTAAATTAGTTCTGTTGCCTTTATATAAAATGAGCGTCATTTTTACACAGGTAAGTAAATCATTTCTGAAAGGTTCAGAGTTCAAAGTTTCAAGTTTCCATTACCCAAAGAGGAGACAGCCTCCCTGTTGGTGCACAAAGGCAATTCAGCAAGGCAAATAAATGTCAGTCAATATTAACTCTAACAGCCCAGCAGGGGAGAAACTGCTACAAATTTCATTACATTTCCTTTGTTCAAGGAAAATCCAGTGTTTTACATAACGTTTTACTATTGAGAAAGGTGGACATTGCAATAAACCACATCCCTTGTTTATCATTATTTTGTTTTACCACTATGATCTTCACTCATGCTGAACTCATATCCAAAGTTGATTAGCACATTATTATTATTACAGCAAACACGTTACGTCAACCGGCTTCCTGAATAAACAACAGAAAAAACATTTAAAACAACAAAAAAGAAATGTAAGTTCCAGTTTAGCACCTGAGAGATGACAAATATTTAAACACATGACAGGTTCAGAGGGGAAAAAGCAGACACATTCGATCTGTCGTGGTGTGTGCATCAAACCATACCTTGTTGAGCTTCCCCAGGGATGAGATGAGATCTGCCCACTCACTCGAAGACTCAAAGTTCCGCAGAGCTTTCTCAATGACAGATGCATAGCTACGGTAACGGTAGTCATTCTGCAGTTCTAGCTCTTCAGGATCCATGATGTATCAGACTGATACCAGCATATTCCTCAAATATTCTGCAGGTGGGATATTAAAAACAAAATTGGTTGTCAACAAAAATTGAAAAACCACAAAAAATCAGTATATTTTCTGATACTCTCTGTTTCTAAGTCTGTGTCTTGTTTTTGGAAAATAAAATTAGCCAATGTACGGATTTCACGGACACACAAGGTCCTTATTCACAAGACGATGAATTTTTTCTGACTTCCTCTAAATTCTTTCAAAACAAATTAAGTGGCTTTTCCAAATAAGAGCTAACGAATGGAAGGATACAACTGCTCCAAGTTATATCTGTGTCTGCACATGGACTAATCTTGACATATCTGGAACAAGGCAGTGGGTGGAGACTACGAAGACAGGATTAGGGAAACATGGACATCTGGGCTCTCTGTAGATGAGCTGAGAAGAGCTTTATTACCAGAGATGAGCACAGAAACACATGCTCAGGGTGACTGAGAGTAACTTTATAAATGCCTGGAACATCAGACTACACATGATGTGCGCCATTGCATGAAACTAAATAAGCACTTCAAAAGTTGTTTCTGCCGATTCCTTGTTACAAACAGCTTTTTGTTACTGATTATTTGATCAGTGTGTCTAGAATCTTAGGTCCTTTTTCTTCATTAGGCTTGCACATATCAAAATTTCTTGGGTTACGAAAGACAGGCACGGTACTTTGAAAACAACAGGAAAAAAAGCAACTGTGCTTAATTTGAAAATCAACATAAATATAGGGAGCAGCAAATATATGATATTGGGACAGCATCACATTTTCATTCTTTTAAAAATGAAAAATAATAAAGCAGCAACAGAACAACAATAAACAATAAATTATCCAATTTACTCAGTGAAGTGAAGAAACAGCACAACACCAGTCCAGGTCTACCGATGAGACTGGCAGCCTAGACTTTAGAATTTAAGTAAAGTCTAACTAATTAATCCTTCCTATACATCCTCACTGCTTCACAGTCTGTGGTCACCGTTGCCTGACTCTCCTCTTAATAATGTTTCATTCACTTTTATTACTGTATTATTTACTGTGTAAAAATATCAATATCAATCATTTTGATTTGCTCTACCAAATACGACACTCTTGCATTTACTGTGTGAAGATTTTCCATGTCATTGCTACATAGCAACACCATCACTGATGATAGTAGTTTCTAATGTCACATGACTAAAAAGGACTAAAAGGTTGAAGACCGTTAGCACTGTTTTCTGGCCTTGGGCTTTTTAATTCTTTAAAATATTATGAACTGTAGATGATGACGGACCTAAATTCTCTTTTTTTTAATAGTAGACATTTCTTTTACAACACTTGCTCATTGTGGTGAGCCACATCTGCCTTGTGATCAAAGGTCATTATTTTGCTGACAGAGGAACTTCCTAAATTTGTAGTTTTGCCATTCTACTTGTTGTGTTTCACACACAGTAAAGAGTAAGGTTTGTTAGTGAAAATCTTCTTAAACAACCTAAGGTTTTAATTCTGAATTATGTGTTTTTTTAAGGACTTTGTGGTTAAAACAAATGCAGTTATTATATTGCAGGGGAGCTGTGATGTGTCTCTTCTTTTAAAAGGTGACCAGCAAGAAATCGATGCTGTCTATGACAAAGTGAAATTTTAAAAATGTCTAAGGAACAAAACGGACCATTTCAAACTATGCACAAGAAAAAGTAAACCTTGGAGAATTTTCCCAGCAAATTCCAAAACTTCCAGGAATACGAATTGTACAGCAGCATAAATAATTACATCATCATGATTAAATATATAAACATAGTCAATAATTAGCTTGACAGAAGAGCCCAACTGAAACTTGGGCTCTTTATTTTCTAGGAATTCACCTTGCCTGATTAAGAATTTATTTTAACTGTACGAAACGATAATGGATATTTTCAAGACGTGACTTCTTTTCATTTTATATTCTTAAACTGCCTCACAATCAAAAGGCTGTTCACAAAGCAGATCTAACTCATCTCACTTCCCCTACTGTATGTATCAGCAAAATGCAGGTGTGATAACACCATGCATCTGTTTCAGGCTGCTGTCGAGCTGAGAAGTGTGTGCTTTGAGGGTGGACACAGTGAAACACACCATGCCCCACTATGCACTGTGTCACCTGACTGACACCACCACTACAACAGGCCTTAAGGTGACAGCGTTCAGCTACATTCAGTGTCCTGAGGTGGTTTCATTTTTTCGTCTTTTATTCCTTTAAATATCCAAAACTGTACTGCACACATTCCTACAGGCTGTGGAGCAGCCATTCTTGTGTTTTTTTTCAGCTGGGAAAACAAACAAGGACAAACCAAACTACCCTGAGCACCAAATGTATCCATTTAATAAGTAGCTGCAGTGTGAACGGTCTTTAACTGGCCCTAACCTGGTATTTTGAAGAACCATATTTGAAAAAGTAACATCCTATAATCATTGCTTAAACTACATGGCTCAACATCCACTGAGGGAAACACCATGTCCTGCAGTGACTATAGGTTCAATTACACCTTCTTCCCTTACTCCAGACCCCAACTGAGTTTGATTTAATATTGGTCGTTTGTTTCAAAAAGAGGCCCAATGTTTATATTTGAGCTCATCATTGTTTAAAGTGTACAGCAACACTGATTACTGAACCTCTATGTTAAGTTTAGCTTGGCAGCCATATTTTATATGGCAGGATGTCGACTGGTGACCTGACCATCTGATGTACATGTTCTATATCCAGGTGGTAATCACGAGTTTTCTATAATAAAAAAAAGAAAAAGAAAAAAAAAAGACCTATAATTTTTTTACACGCCTTGTAGTTGCGTTGTTAGCACCTCCTACAGGGAGGGGGACGTTAATCTATGTAAACAAAACATTTCATTTTCATGTTATTATTTGCTACACAAAGTAAAACTTTATTTTTAACCCGAATTAACATTTTTTCATAGATTGTGCTGTGTGTTTAAATTATATGTATACACATATGTATATATATATTATAACAAAAAAAAACAAAAACAATAAAGCTTAACTTATAATTGACGCACCATTGACGCGAGACGTGGCTTGGTCCTGAGCCTGAGGTTTCTATACATTTTCAGTAAATTATTAAAACGAAAAAAATATATATAGAAAACTGCGACGTGAATGTTAACGCCGCCTCGATGACGTAAAAATAATTTTACTGTGAGTAATATTTCAACAATATCAGCTTAAACTCTTATTCAATAGCGTCTCTAATAGCATAAATATAGCGACAGCTGGCAAGACAATAACCAAAGACCGACTGTACGGATATTTAAACGACATTTTCGTGAAACAGTTTCAGTGTCACAATATCTGGTCCTCACGAAACAAAATGTACCATCTGGACAAACAACGACTCACCAGACCCGGAATGAAGGCAGACTTAGCATCCGGGGTAAACTCTCCCCAGGTTCTCTTGGTGCATACTGCAAAAACCGAAGGGTTTGATGAGAGAAAGTGGGCGTACAGCCTGAAATATGTCCCCAGGATGTGTGTGAGTGTGGGTGTATTTGTCAGCTACCTTCATCCCCAGGCAGAACCAACCGGGCTGGATCAAAACACTCAGCTGATTCAGAGCCTGTACTGCGCAGAAGCACGGTTCACTTCCACGCAGGGAAGAGGGTGTGGTCGGGGGCGAAGTGAACGGCAAATGCGCTGTTTGTCTTTAAACTGACATTTAAAAACAGAATAAACACACGAACCAAGTTTCTGCCTCGGGGCCAAAAGAAACCAGTTTTCTCTCGCCGTTCTAAATTTCGAATGCCAGCTAGGTTGCGAAAACGCGACCCTCCAGCGTTGGTACAGTCCAGGATGTGCGGTGTTTACAAGCCTCTGACTTCATCCATCTATCTATCTATCCGTCAATACATACATACATACACACATGCAAACACACACATAATACAGATCTTGCAATAAGAAACATTAAGGAGTAAATTATACACAAGTATATCCCAATATAGTGGCTAATATTTGCTTTAATGTTCATTTAAATATGTCCAGCAGAAGTATATTTAATATTTGTCACGACCGTAGAGAACACTGGGAAACGATCCAATGAGTCACTATTGTGGCGGAGGTGTCCAATAAACGTGACCCCCAAGCTGGATGATTTTGTACTGCGCAAGTGCCTGGAGAAAAAAACACGGACAAACACACGGTACTATAGGTACTAAAAGGCTATCTGGCTCTACCTAGTGGTAAATGTTACTTCCTGCATTGAACAAGGAGCGGATGTTTCAAAATTGTTTGAATTAAACAGGAACTCGTGCACATTCTTGTTGATTTCGTGGATTTATTTGCAGATATAAAGAAAAGCATCCAAAAATGACTGTAAACCCCCCCCCCCCCAAAAAAAAACAACAATCAAAGCAAAACAAACAAAAAACGCAACAAGCCTTCTTATGTTAAATTATGCTCAAATAAGCACACACATATCGCCTGTATGTATTTATGAATTACAAATGTTTTAATTCAATAATTTCTACAAAGGAAATGTTTATTTACGTCTTTATGCTGTGGATACCCCACACACCAAACCGCTATCACCTTTTTCATGACCATCCCCAAGGGTGTCTGCACCACACTTTGAGAAACCCTGCGTAGACTAACTCGCATGATGCGAATTAATCTAATCACTGTCTCCACAGCGGTTACTTCGGAGTTGTATCTGTTGTACATACATCGTTGTGTCTGTAGAGGGAGCGCCTTATTAAAAACGTTTTTTTTTTTTTTTTTAGATTTTAGTAACATTTATTTGAAACTTGTATGACTACGCGTATATATTGATATGGCCACAAAGGTGTTTGTTTTACATCACACTAATGAACATTTATTATAACAAGTTCAGTTGTTTTTTGTTTGTTTGCATTGAATCTTTTCACCAGTTTCAACGGAACCTTGTTTAGTCTTGGAACTTTTGGACGTTCCCACAGGATTTACTGCATCAGTTGTAGTGATATTTTTATACCACTCTCCACCATAGGATTTGAAGCAGAGGTTAAGTTTGGTCCGGCTAAAGGCATGTCATCCATGGAGATTTGGACCCAGAGCCTAGTTTTAGAAGAGATTCTATTTTTACAGACCTGGAAAGATAATAGAGAATTTACCGAGTGAAAACAAGTCTAATAATAGAAATGCTTAGTATAAAACAGAGTATGAGCGCTATTCTTTCCTTAAAGCACCTGTCCTGTGTTCTCTAAAGAGTTGCAAAGAAAATCCTAGTTGTGCTGCATGAACATGAACCGAGTAACTCTAGATAAAAATATATTATAAGTGTAGCAAACAAACTTATTTTCCATTTTAACCAAACTTCCTTATTTTACTCTATTTATAGTTTATTTTGACTCAAACTGGTTATTTGCCATTTAAAGCAACTGTAAAAAATAATTCGATTTTTTTTTTTACAAAAACCTGAGATTTTGCAACCCTCAACATCTGCTTTGTGGAGGAAAACCCCCTGTTTTCTTATCAGGCACAACCAAGGTGGATATGAGTGGGAGGGAAACAATGGACTTATTAATTTCTTTGCTTATTATGTCCTTCTGCGACTTGTCCAAAAATGAATATTTTAAAGGATCTGATATAGAGATTTGTACATCCAAGCGTTTCGTGCAACTAGATCTTATAGTTTTGATATCTCACCCCACGACATTCCTTCAGATCTGGAGGAATCAAAGAATGCAAAAAGCCTGAACTGTGTTTCAAAATATTTTCTTTATTGGCCTAAGAGTTACAACACAGTTAAACATCAAAACATTTACGATTGCTTTTTCCTCCACCTCAACCGGAGAAGGACTTCCTTGAAAACAGTGGTTAAATACAAAACATCAAACTTTAAAATGTTTTAATACATGTTTTAGTGTAAACCTCCATTTCAAATTACTTTTTGACACAGCTGTTAGTGGTAATGTAAAAAAAAATAGGGAACATTCTTGGGGCATTGAATTTTTGCAAAAAAAAAATTTAGGAGGGTGATGAGTTGAAACAGGACTTCTGGTTTCATATTGACACTCATGCTGACACTTTGTAGCATATGTATACTGTCCTCCAGGGGGAATCAGCTACAACATGACAAAACAGCTGTAAATGGTATGTTGGGCGTCGTCAACCATCTGGCTAAATTCCTGTGGTCTTCAAAATCATATATCGCTTTACTTTTTCAATACATTTTCCTGTAAACAGTATGTTTGAAGCCTAGATCTGGCCCGTATCCAGGGCATATAGAACTCACATTTGGTCCACATGTGCTGTGAAATAATGGTAACTATAAAGTCCTGTCCTGTTGGCCAGATGTGAGCTACAAACAAGTCTGATATACATATTATGTGAGCCATTTACCTCTATTCTCAATCAACTGATAAAATACTTTTTTTCTTTTGGATCTTGCAAAGCATCCACTCACTACAGTCGCTTAAATGTCCCAAGGAGGCTCTGCTGCCCCACTTTGAGCCACAACTTTAATGTATCACGAGCTACCGTGTCTGACCTAAAACAACTTATTATACAACAAGGATATTCAACATCTTTCAATCTGCTAGTACTGCATCTAAAAAATAACATCAGATGCATAACATCGCTTTAAACTGGGGCGAGTGTAGAGATTACATTGGTTTTCTCAGTGCCCCTTGATAATTGATAATTAATTTATGTTGTCTTAATGAAGCTGAGTTTAAGTTAAAAAAAAGTGTTTGTATTGTTAACATGTTGTTACAGTGAACTCCCATTGTCCATTGAAATAAGATACAGTAACTTCTGAGGAAGACCTTCAAAACACGTCATGGTAAAAAAAAGGAAAAGAAAAAAAGATCCGAACTAAGATGAACATTTTAGGAGCCTATTACCTGGTAATCTTCAAAAATAACAGGATTTGTGGGAACACCACAAAAACAAACTTGATAGTACACTTGTTTGAGGGATATGAGGTGATGAAAAAGTTGTCTAATCCCTTAACACTTCTCTAAACAGATGATAAAATGAACACTGTCTCAAAAGCTGCCTGTTGGTTTTGTTGGGGACAAATATGTCATATAAGGTTTTGACCTACCTGCCATTTGATTTCATTTGCTTTGTGTCTTGTGATGCATGTCCACAAACAAATTCAAATAAGCATTTTGTGTCTTGTGTGTAAAATACTCCAGGCCATGTTTCTGTGCCAGCTTTAGTTAGCACAGAACCATGATCACATGGGTTAACAACAAAATAACAATCTTACACAACTAACAAGCAAACAAGGCAGTGTCTTATTTAGCATACTTACCCAAAATGTTGTCAACGTCAAGATCCGTAATGTTTGGTTGCAGCATAAATTGTTGATATATCAAATTATGAAAGTGTACAGAATAGCTCTACTTCTCCACATTTGCCCTGCAAATCGTCACATTGGACCATATTTAGTCTATGGAAGTGCAATGACTGGCCCCCAAGCCGGACTTTGAACATTTGTGACCTGCAGGAATCAAGCCACTACTGATTCAAGCCCACTTCTGTTTATTGACTTCCAGTTACTTCCGTTATTAATAAATGGACGGAAAAACTCATTCATCCCTGCCTCCATTGTTTTGTTTAACAGCTTATTATAAGTGATTGTTTACAGTGGCTGCTGCTGAAACGTGGCTTCTGCACAGCACCGCCAGGAGATCATGAAGATAACGTTGACGGTCCTCATATCGTAGCGCACCAGGATGCGGGTGAAGGGCAAATCCACGTCGTGGACGTTAAGGGTTCTTAATAAACATCGGGCTTTTAGCTCAGTGCCGTCATCTCCGTACACATGCAGCTGCAGTCAGTCGCGCTCAACGCGCAAGGTTCACTGGGAAATGGAGTATTGAATTAAGTGGAAATTTCCAAGATATCTGTTCAACGAGTGAGTGGAAATTTACTCCGCGTCCCTCCCCCCTGTAATATGCAGAGTCGGCTCTGCCTCGCAGGCTGTTTTGTTCAAAGTCAACCATGTTATTCTCATCTGACTGCTAAGTCTACTGACGTTTTTTCTATCCAACTTTGAGAACAGAGAACACTTATTGTATGTTTGTGCTGGTGAAAACACGCATGGACATTGTTATAAGATTGTTGCTGTTCTTAATGTAGTAGGGATCCTGCACAGTTTTACACTTCACTGAGTGCTAGTGTAGAATTACTATGTTTGTATTATAAACTTGTGTAACTGAACGTGACACATGACACACAGGTTGTTCTTCTCAAATGAAACACTTGAGAGCCTAAAAGCAAAATCCCAATCCCTGCTTGCACCTTTTAGTTCGTTTGCATACAAACTGCATTGTGTCTTCAAATGTTATGATTCAAAATTTGCTCAGAAAGGACAATCTACTGAAAAGAAAAAACATATTAAGATTTTTTAATTTCCATAGAGCAGGAGCCAAGACGTGCCGGTGCTAGTGGTAGGCAATGAGTTGTGTTTCCTCCTGAAAAAAACAAAACAAAAAAACAACCCAACAACTGCCAAAAACATTTCACTCAAATAACAAACCTGTTTTCCACCAGTTATGTTAACTGTAATGTCAAAAAGTCAATTCCTTGCCAAGTAGATAGATAACTGTGGTGGAGTAGGTGTAGCAGGATTACTATTACAAACGTTGTCCGTCAGAGAAATAACTTTCAGTCAGGAATTGATGTGTTTGAAAATTATATCATTGGTGAATTTAGTATCAGTTTGTAGGCAAACAATATTTGTTGTGTTAGGTTTAAAAAGACGGGAGGAGTGTTGGTGACCATGGCCCGGCTCTCCCTACTCTCGATATTAATTATTTAAAATCATTGAGGTCCAGGATATATTGCTGGACACAAATTCTCAAAGGTGTTTCGCACGTTACACGTCATTGGTGGGCGGGGGACTGAACCGACGCCTATAAGGAGGAGAGGCTGCGTTGTTAAGGGAGCACCGCGGATCCACTGAGATGACAAGGATCTGTCAAGATTTGATGTTAACAACCAAAGGAATCACTGTGCGTGTGTGTGCGTGTGTGTATGACTCGTCTCATGCGCACGGATCAACTCTACATCTTCATTCACATCTCCCGTGCCTGTGTCCGTGGGGTGTCTCAGCATCTTTAACGAACGTTAGCAAACACGGTACGTGTTCCAAAACACAGGACCCGGTGGGTGAGTTCGTGTGTGAGGAGACCACCGGTGTACGTGTGTCTTATAAAATAATAATAATATAAAATAATAATAATAAAAAACACCTTGTGATCTGTGAGTATCAATCCATGTGAACCTGTATTTGTTGTTTGTAACAACTCAGAAGCCGCGACTGTGTTACTGCTCCTTAGTTTGTCAGATGTCACTATGGACAATGAATGCATTATTTTCTCGGTGATGTCAGCGACAAAGACAACGCAGGTTGATTCGAGTCCCCTGAAGATGTGCAGCTTTTGCAACCGGATGAATGGGCGCGTGTTCTAGAAAATTCCTTCCGTCTGCCTGGTGCATATGTGCCCTACATGGCTGGCGGTGAGATGGTGTCGCGTTCCTCATTTGTGCTCCCAGAACCGTCAGTCGCAGCTGACCTATGATTAAAGCGTTATTGTTCTTTGTGCCGCTGATACTACGTGCAGCCAAGTTTACTCAGGACTGATTCTGAATTTGTGTTTTTTTTTTTTTTAAATCGTAAGTGGTGCCTTTAAGACTCACTGTTTTTTGTGTGGTGGGCGTGTGAATCTGTCCAAGTGCAAATTATTGGAGTTCCACAAAGACACACAGTTGATCAACATAGGTTTATGTTTTAACCCATTTTTAAATAGGGCTCTGAAACTGGGTTGTTTTTACCAAACTGAACTGTGCAAATAAGGGATTTCCAAACTTGTTGAGTCAGATTTTGTAAAGATTAATCTGCAAAAAAAAAAAGAAAAAAAAAGAAAAACAAATAATAGGAATTATAAAACGTTTACATGTGTATTTATATATTCTTTGAACATTTTTAACTAAATTTTAAATTTTGGGCTCATACTGAACTACCCAGTAGTGCGATGTGGTCATCTGCCGGGATAATGAGCCACTGTTTGTCTTTATTTGCACATTTCTTCTTTATTTTTCTGTACGTTTTGTCATGTATTTATAACTGCCATTCATATGGCATATATTTGCCATTATTATTTTAAAAAACAATTTAGAAGTATCATTGTCAACTCTGTGATTATGCTCTGAAATATGATGATATTTAAGTATGTTATTGCCCTGTGCATGTGTGTAGCACAGTTTAGTCATCACTCTGACACCAAGCAATTTGTCCTGTTGGGATTGGCTCATGTGGACATCACGTGACAACATTCTCTTAGAAGTAAAAAGATTAACATGGTGGGAAGACTATTTATTTATTAACTATTTGTGGACCAGGTTGTCAACCTTTGTTAATAGCACCCCCTGCAGGCAGGTACGTAGATACGATGATATTGTTATACACACACACATATATACAGTATATATATATATATATATATATATATATATGAAGGAAATAATTGAGCATAATAAGCGTAGTGCTCTTAGTTAATATAGAGTGCAGTTGCACAGCTTGTACACCTACATGCAGCTTACAGTAAGTATAGTTTATCAACAAGGTGTCGGCACTAAGAAAGTCAAGCGTAAATAACAATTGCCTTTGTTCAGATCCCAATATAATTAAGTAGGACCTGCAATCCCTTTGGACAGTTCAAATACTTTGAGCTGCATAACAAGATAAAATTAAGACTAATTAAATTCCACTGCACCAAGAAAACAAGTTACAAGAGCCGCTAAGTCCATTCTCAGTCACATGTCTTCAGGGATTTTGAGCATGAAGAAAAAACAATGCAATGTTTACCTTTGAGAGAGAAATCACCACACAGGTTTGTGTCATAGCTGAGTTCTATTGAAGACATTTAAAGAGAGTGTCATATTAAACCTTTTTTAGGTCATGACTGGTCCTCAGACTAGACACTGCGAAGTTAGAACAATCAGTTGGTTAATAAATGAGAAATATTTGAAGGTATATTTGTAGTAATTGTCAGCCATTTGTCTATAGCTTACAAAAGAGTTATTTTTTTATTTGCAGAACTTGGGAGATGCTGCCAGGTTTATTCAATCCTGATTAATAAACTAAACGTAACTTAAAAAGTATAGGCCTGACAGTGCAGACACAGAGATAGGTATGTATGTGTATTGTTGGGGAAGTAAATATAAGCCAAATGTATTATAAAAGCTTGTATCCTCCATGGACCAAACGGTATTTTCTATTTGATAAGAAACAGGCGTAGGTGCTTTTAAATCATGCAATTTATTTCAGGTTAAACTTGGCACACACAACCTTAAGAACTTCAACTGTTTCTGTTTTTGCTTTAACAAAGTATTCATCTCACCAACCTTCTTACAGTATATGAGTCATTGTGGCTTTCTTTTATACCTTTCATATTTAATATAGTTAAGGAGAAGCTCTATTTTTTACAGCTCTATTAGTATGACATATGTTGTTATTACACTAATTTGCTTGGGTTAATGTGAGTGTCTCTTTGGCACGGGCGCCATGGTCTTATTTTGGCTGTGGTCTGAGGTTGTGTTTGCTTTAAGCACGTACTGGCACATTTGGATGCTGTGATTATATTCTAATCCACATTATATAACTCTGCAAAGGAAATTATAATATTGTGCTGAGTGACATTGCTGTTTCACACAGCAAGGGAATCTTGGCCAGCTCACGGGCACGTGGAGAAGTGGACACTGATGCAAACAAAGACTTCTTTCATGGAGAAAGATGGTTGTGCATAGAGCCTGGTTGTGAAGATGAAGGCGTGGGGTTATTTTCTAACATGCATGGCAGACTCAAACCTCAAAGGAGGACAGACATCCAAGATTGTGTGTGTGTGTGTGTCTGTGTCATTAACACAAAACAGATGTGCGCACACAAAACCATTTATTTTAATAGATGCTGACAAACAGTTATTTTCATCCATAGCCATACTTCAGTCTCTATTATGTTTCCACTTCACTTAAATTATTTGGTATGAAAAGTTCAATAAATTCAACAATTTCAGTTAATAATGCAATCATTTCTCTGAAAGTTGCTCTAATACACCATCGATACACGTCGCAGATCACACAAATAGGTACATATGTGCAAGTATATATATATTTACATTTTGTGTGACTAAATGATATTATAAGTTGTATTACTAACTAATAATAGACCACACCATTCTGTGTGGTCTATTATTTTTTAATTTTGTTTTCCTAACAATGGGGCGGTCGCTTTTCCTAATATTTATCATCAGTTTTAATTTTGTTAACTTAACACAATTAATGCTGTACACTGTTTTTTAATCGTACTGATCACTTGACAAGTAATGTTTATACATCATTTTGTGTCTTTATCTTGTTTTCATACAAAGTAAATTGAAAATAACCAGTGGATAAAGGATTGTCCTGCGGATGTCTTGACGTCTGTGGTTTTAGAACTAACAGTTATAGTCTTTAAAGGTCATGTTTTCGCTGTTCTCTTAAACTAAGGGTCTAATGAGGTGTTTTTCTTTGTCTTTGCTGTCTTGCAGGAGTGTTAAGTCTAGAAGCCTAGAACATCTTCTTCTAAATCTAGAACAACCTCAGTGCTGGTGGATAAGCCCCCCTGAAGCACATCTAGTGAATTTGAATTGACGGTGGATACTTCAGCTTCCATCCAGACAGCAAACCAAAGCAGAGCATTTCTTTTGCTGCTTTTTTATTAACATATTCCATATTTTTGACCACAAACATTTTTTTTTTTTTTTTCGAGAGTGTACCTTGCACTGTAATCTGCAAAAATGCGTCAATCAATGGAAGCAGCAGACATAGCTGTGGTAGCACTGTATTTTGTCCTGGTGCTTGTCATTGGGTTTTTTGCTATGTGGAAGGCAAACCGCAGCACTGTGAGTGGCTACTTCCTGGCTGGACGTACCATGACGTGGATAGTGATAGGTGCGTCCCTCTTTGTGAGTAACATTGGCAGTGAACATTTCATTGGCTTGGCTGGATCGGGAGCAGCGAGTGGCTTCGCTGTTGGAGCATGGGAATTCAATGCACTCCTTCTTCTGCAGCTGCTTGGCTGGGTGTTTATCCCTGTCTACATCCATTCTGGAGTCTACACCATGCCCGAGTACCTGTCCAAACGTTACGGGGGCAACAGATTAAAAGTTTACTATGCTTTCTTGTCTGTGTTAATCTACATATTTACCAAGCTTTCTGTGGACCTGTATGCTGGAGCTCTGTTCATTCACGAGTCGGTAGGGTGGAACATTTATCTGTCTATTATCCTTCTCATTAGTATAACTGCATTGCTCACTGTCACTGGAGGACTAGTGGCAGTACTGTACACAGATGCCCTTCAGGCCGTGCTGATGATAGGTGGTGCCCTCACCCTCACCATCATCAGTCTAATCAAAGTTGGTGGGCTGGAAGGAGTCAGAGAAAAGTACATGCAGGCAGTTCCCAATGTTTCTGCAATTATCGCAACTGGAAACTTCACATATACTAATACCTGTCGTATCGACCCCAAACCAAACTCGCTGCGTATGCTTCGTGGTCCTCTAGATGAAGATATTCCTTGGCCAGGTTTTATTCTTGGTCAGACACCTGCATCTATTTGGTACTGGTGTACAGACCAGGTCATTGTCCAGCGAGTACTGGCAGCCAAGAATCTTGCTCATGCAAAGTGCTCGACGCTCATGGCTGGATTTCTCAAAATCCTCCCAATGTTTGTAATAGTAATTCCAGGAATGATATCCCGGATCATGTTTGCGGACGAGATCGCCTGCATCGGGCCAGAGCACTGTATGGCTGTCTGTGGATCCCAGGCCGGTTGCTCAAATATTGCCTACCCTCGCCTGGTCATGGCTGTGATGCCAGTAGGTCTTAGGGGTCTGATGATGGCGGTCATGATTGCTGCCCTGATGAGTGACCTCGACTCAATCTTTAACAGTGCCAGCACCATCTTCACCCTGGATATCTACCAGACCCTCAGAAAGAAGGCATCACAGCGTGAGCTGGTGATTGTAGGACGACTGTTTGTCGTGGTCATGGTGGCCATCAGCATTGCCTGGGTCCCAGTTATCATTGAAATGCAAGGTGGACAGATGTATTTGTACATCCAGGAAGTAGCTGGCTATCTCACTCCACCAATTGCCGCGCTTTTCCTGCTGGGCGTATTTTGGAAACGATGCAATGAGAAGGGCGCATTCTGGGGTGGCATGACGGGTTTCACACTTGGTACCACACGATTGGTTTTGGCTTTCTTCTACCGCCAGCCCCGCTGCGACCAGCCAGACAATAGGCCTTCTTTCATCATTCATGTTCACTACATGTATTTCGCTGCTGGGCTGTTCTGGCTATCAGGTCTGGTGGCGGTGGTGGTCAGTCTCTGCACCGCTGCACCAGATAAAGACAAAGTTCGCACCACTACAGTCTGGGGCCTACGCCACATTGAGCCATTACCGCCCAAAGAACGAGATGAGATGCACAGACTGACTGACGAGAACCATTGCAGCAGTGACGGAAAGCTCCATAAAGATATGCCCACAGACATCAGGAATGCAAGGTGTTTGGACGGGGGCGATTTCAAACTGCTGGTCCCAGCCGTAGACCACGAACCAGCAACGCCGACATCAGACACCTCCGCCTCTGCAGAGCAGTTTGGTAATGAAATGGTGGAGATGATGAGGGAGGGGGATGGTTGCCACGGGAATGAGGAGAGCAGCAGGTGCACACGTTTGCTGGACTGGCTCTGTTCATACAACAAGGAAACACAAAGTGCTGATCAACAGTCGTTGGAGAACAATGCCAGGCTGATCGCAGAGATGCTGTACGAGCCCCCTAAAGTCAAATTCTTCCTAAATTTGGGTCTGATTTGTGTTTGCTCCGTGGGCATCTTCATGTTTGTGTATTTCTCACTTTAGCTCAATACTGCACTTAACTGATGGAGACGACATAGTGACTTTTTTTTAAGGTTTATAGAGGGTTTGGGTGGGTGCTGTTAAGAACTTTCCAGAGACTGGAGAAGCTCCGTCTGTAATATTTACAGTTGTGTTTTGTAGCTCTCTAACAGGGAACTCAGATACTTCTAATCATGTTTTTTGAAAACTATTAAAGCTCTTCTTCACACCGACTCTACTCATGGCTACAAAGCTTGTTTGGCACTGGTGTGACTATTTTGTATAGTGCTTGATGTTACCTTCAGAATATCTACTGGGATTTAAAAACTGTAGTACTCCAAGTGAATTTAATATTTGCCTTATTTGACATATGCACTTGCCTTTTTGTAGGGTGAAATTGTTTTGTGTGGTTGATTTTTTTTTAAAGTTCTGAATACTATCAGGATCATTTTGTTTTACATTAGTACTATGTTGGTTGCTTCGTCTGTTTGGTTTTGTTGTGATTTTTATGTCAGAATTTAAATATTATCCAAAATAGTTTGTTGTTGTTGTGCAGCTAGTGTTACAACATGAGATTATCTTAGAGACAGTAGTATAACAACAGTCTTTTCTAGTGTTGCTGATATCAAAGTTCAAGTCACTGGTTTGCTTTTATCAACAACTTGTTAATATTATGGTTATGATGTGCACATATCTTGGGAGATTTGAAGCCCTGTTCATATGTCGGTAGAAAAAACAATTGGCCATACTTGGTATTTAGCGATGCTTAAACATTCGGCTGATTTTATCTTTTTTTTTAAATTATTTTTTATTGACTATTGAAATTCCTGCACTGCAGCTTTCATTCACTAATATTACAAACAAACAGAAACGCACCAATGACACTGTATCAATGTGTACTTTTCCTTCTCGCCTCTGTCACTGTGTTAAAACTCTCTCTTCTGCATTATATTATGGGCTATAATACAAAGCTGATTGGCTCTCTCCTTATTGTTACTGTAAAGTACATGTGTAAAGTGTGTCAATATTTTGTAAACTCCCTACCAAACGTGTCTTATTGTGTAATGCTAAAGTGGAAAAATACAGAGAACAAAAAGTTTTGTTAGGTGCAGGCTTTGGGGTTGAGTCAGTACATTTTCACATACAGTATAAGTGGATGACGAAAATGCACAAGTGACATAATCTCTGCGACGTTCGCTGTAAAATTGGCACATGGCAGGAGTTCACTCAAGACTCTTTTTAAATTAATATACAGTAACCAGGTTATTATAGCTAATTTCAGTTGATTTTTTTTTTCATTTTACAAAAAGCAGGACAAATGATGATAAAATTGTAAAATTTGTTCAGAATCGTTCTTCCTTTATATCTGTTTTTCTTTTGTAACTTGAGAGCAGTGTTGAATGACCTCAGTTCAAAAAATCACTGTCATAAGATGGATAATTGCTGTATGTCAAAGAGCTTTACAAGAAATGTTGTTCTTTCTGAGGGAAATACTGTACATTGTTATTTTTAAGGATTTATTTTTAGAACCTGAAAATAAAACTTCTGTGGTGACAAAGACATGACAAATGGTCACTTTTTTCTGCACTGGCAGCAAAATACAAGACGCTTTATGACAAGTTGTTGAAATGAACTGATAGGAGTCAGCAGAATAAAGTCAACACAAAAACAGTTAGTTTTGCCAATCAGAAACAGCTATAGCTGTAAAATGAAGTTTGCATTCATGCAATTTTACAGCCAGGTCACATTTCCTTCTTAAGATAACAGTTTTTTTAATTAGTTATGGGACTCATTAATTTTGGTACACGTAAAACAAAGTAAATGCAAGTCTCTTGACATTTTTACACATTTTTAAGACAAATTTGTCTCGACTCAAATCTTGCATGATACTGTTGATGGTGTTTAAGAAAGTGACACTGTACAACGAGGAAGAAAATGACAAAAAATAAATAAATTCAGATCTGCATGAAACTGTTGTATACATTAAAGTCCAGACTACGGTTTTACCTTAGTGTTTTTTTACATCATGTATGATTTTTTACATGAGAAATGTATGAATATTACCTTATTTAGTTCTTTAAAAGTCATCTTTAAATTGAACCAAATCCTATACCAGAGCTACCATGTTGCTAATGGAATCACAAACTTATTCTTGCTCGGCGTCTTGGTCCTCTCTGGTGGTTGATGTGACTCTGCTCTTCATTATTGTCATCTTTTACCTGGCTTAGGGTCAACGCTCACGGACATATTG